AAAAAAAAAAAAAAAAAAAGGCCACATGCCGGACTGGAATGCAGTCGCAAACTCGCCTTGCGACTTTTCTGCATGTCAAGAGTTCCGACTGCGGTTGAAACTTGGGACCGTACTGGACTCCAAAAAGGCAGTTCGGAATACATTTACAAACGGCTTTCGTCACTGCGCCCTATATACATAAGACTACGCAGAGATACTGGGGGCACCACCCAGCTTCCACTTGTACTGGAAACCAGGACAAAGGGAGGATTCCTTTTTCTTTTTTTTGGCTGGATTCGAGCTTGGGTCTGCATTTCTACAGTTCGAGGGTGTAGCAACTGAGATAGGCCCCTTAGTTGAGTCTTCCTTTTGTGGAAGGCGCCGGCAGCCATTTCATAAGTCGTAAGGCCTGGTGCATGGAGTGTTGTATTATGACAACTCAGCAAAGTAATACCCCATAGCGTTTCAGTGAAAGACAATCAATATGTTACCATAAGGAAGTAGAGCAAGGAACAGAGGAAGGAAGGAGGTGGAAAAACCATGGACAAACTGCGCAAGATGAAAAAGTAATCATGAATTCTCCCAGACGCGACGGACTCAATGACAAACGAAAAACCCTTGAGAACGCCTAGTCCATTCCAAAACCGTGGCACAATCCGACCTGTTTCGGCTGGCGCCACCCAGCCTCATCAGGGACCTGTCGGTTGTAGGTGAAAAACCTGATACCGCGATCCTTTTTCTTTTCTTTTCTTTTATTTGCGTACATGATGTTTACCACGTCTCCTTGCTCCTTTTTATCTTGCCAGGCTTAAGAGAAAAAAAGGGTTGTGATCCTATTTCGAGGCCTACAGGCATAAAGGAAAGGATGTATCTAATCAGGAAACCGGTAAAAAAACAGGATACTATCATGCCACCACATACCCTGATGTGATTGCACATCGAGACTTTGAGAAGCATCTATTCTACAAAACAGATTCCCGACACACACTAGGACAAGTTCGTCGAAAAATAAAAGAATTCCAGTCACGTTCTACTAACCCAGTTCTATTCCTACTTAATTCCTTCTTGGCACTTACAAATGCAAGGAAAGTAAGCAACAGCCAGATGACAATACCAGAATACACCATCACATTGAAAGCCAGATAGTCACACCTTGTCGTGAGAGCAGCATTGCACCAATAATACACCAATGGAGGTTCATAGTACTGAAAACCAATGTCAAGGAGAGCTTTCTCTCTCCGCCACAACACGAGTCCAGTCCCTTCACACTCCTACTTGGCGCTCAGCGCCCAGCCTACTCCTACACAGCTACGATCAGCCTACTAATAGACAATGCAACTGTTCACATCAGCAGCAACCCGAAGTACTTGAAGATGTCGCCCAAATGCAGACCATCGCCAATACAAGGTATGTGCCCTCACATCATCATCATCATCATCCTTCGCCCTTCCCTGACATTACACCTACACATGTCCTCCCTTACACCCGAAGACCACTCATGCGCCTCACTGTAGTGCAAGCCCACCAGCTATGGTGGCTGGGCTATGGAGCTGCCCTTAGCAGCGCCCTGCTTCCCTGCACGACCGCACGTGCTGCACCTCGCCTCTCAGCAACAGCAGCAGCCCACGAGCATTCGCTCCAGCAGCGCTGCCGCTAGCATGCGAGTGCCTGAATGAGGCCGTCTGGGGAGAGCTCTTTCCTTTACGAAAAGAGCTGGCCTGCTTGTGCAGCTTGGCTGTACTGGCCTGGGCCCAGAAACTTCCAGAAGGCCCCAGGATGCAGCCTTTGCGCTGCAGCTACTGGGCCTTGTTCGGTTGGGCCTCCCAACTGTCAGTGTATGAGGCTGCGATTCACGCCCAGAGCCTGCATTCTTTGGGAAGGCCCGGTAGGCTGTGGAAATGTCTTTGTTGCTCGGCCTGTGTTTCTCCCAACCAACTGGCGTGTCGCAACTGCCTGAACCCCAAATATGAAATTGACAGTCAAAGGCCTCTTGTGATAAGTTAGGCCCGTCTTCACTTAGGACGGGCACCCTGCAACTGGGACCTCTTAGGCCTGCCAAGGACCCAGATCGTCGCATTCCCATCTCCTTAACTTCGTTAGTCCTCTGAGAAGTCTCTTAGTCTGCAGGCATCTTCCCTTTCAGTTCTCTTTCATAGCCCGCAATCACTTGAGGTGCTGTTCTCAGGAGTTCTTCTCGTGTGAACCAGCGATCCTCCTTGGGATCCAGATGATGTCTGAAGCTCACACGATACTGCATTCTCAGTTTAGGAGGGCGCCCTCTGCCTGATGGACCTGCAACGGGCACGTCGGCAGGGCACACTCCACCAGCAGGCCTCGATGTTCTACACCTACGGGCATTGTGGTCTGTGAGACCGCAAAGGGAGTACTTCTGCTTCATTGGCCGCAGCTGGTGTACTCTCCCTCCCTCCAAACAACTTTTGATTTGACTGCCGTTTGGAGGGCACCTTTCTGCCGCCTTGTTGCAAGTGGAAGGATGACGGGCTCTGCTTCGAGGGAGAGGTTTGCAGGCACGAAACACGTAGGGTGCACAATGCCAGCGTACGTAGGTCGCAATGCTGTCGTTGTGTAAAAGTGGTCGACATACATTCCAATGTCTTCTCCCCGCGAATTGATGGCAGCTGCAGCGTGAACGCACGGACGATGCGTGTCCTCCCAAAAGCGGCAAGTGCACACTACTTTTCATTCCTCACACTCTACCCGCCACGACTGTCATTGGCCGTGTGCATTGTTCAAGTAAACCTCATGCACGTTTCGTGCGGCTTTTCAAATGGAATATTTCCTCGCCAACTACAAAGTAATGAGGAGGATATCTTCTACGACCTCAGGGTGTTCCCCCACCTGCGCGGCCGCCCAATCTCTTCTCTCACTGTGCCATTTTTGCAACCAACCTCGGTACTCCTCGAGAAGTGGAATCGGCGGCATCCCCCGAGCCTTCAAGAATTTGTTGTTCATTGACTCGGCAACTTGCGACGTCACCTTCCCATATCTTGGAGAACGGATATGAGGCCCTCCCCAGTGTCTCTTGTCCGCTTTCGCAAAGATCTTCTCCACTATGTGCTTGTCTTTCGAAAAATCTGCAACCCGCTGCATGTAGTAGTCAAACACGGGCTCGCTGGTGGCTCGCGCTGCTTCAAGGAGCATCTTCGCTTGCTCTTTGTTGACCCTCAAACGGTCATCACCGAATTCTTTGCTCACCGCAGGAATGAGTCCTTTGTCCTGGTCGGACATTATCGTGATTTTGTCGTGAGGCACGTGAGCGGCATCACACACGCGCTTAAGAAGAACCAAAAACCATTTCCAGTTTTTCTTGCTCTCTGCGTCAATAACTGCATATGCAACGGGGAAACACTGGTCGTTCGCGTCTCGTGCAGTTGCACCGAAAAGGCAGCATTCGTACTTCCTCCTAATATGGGCTCCGTCCAGCACAAGCAACAACATGCAGTGTGCAAATCCAGTCACCGAAGCAGCGAACGCGCAGAAAATGCGGACAAAGACGTTGCCATTACAATCGAGTTCGATGATGGACCCGGGGTTGGTCTCACGCACGACCCTACAGTACGTGTGTAAATGAATATACCCGGCGTCCGGAGCGCCTTTCAATGTCTCTACCACTCTCGCCCTTGCTCTGACACACTTGCTGTAGCTGACAGGGGTTTTTATCGTTTCTGCAAACCATTTCCTTAAATCAATGGCGGTAGTCTCAATCTTCTCTCGTAATTTCTTCAGCACCATCAACTCCACCCACTTCACTTTTGCGTGTTTATTGCCTGCTGATTCCTCCACCGACGCTCTGCAACCGGGGCGATGCGGAGTGAGACGAACAATCTCAGTCGGGGTATTGACATGTGCTGCTCTACCCTCCAGCTCCCACGGGCAGTGAGAATTAACGCAGATGACGTGAAACCGGGTGCGGTGCGATCTTTTCCGCTTGTAGTGAAAACCCTTCGCAACGACGACGAACTGAACTGTTTCACGCAAGGTGTCCATGGACACATACCGACATCCCACCTGCAACGGCTGCACATTGCCAGTGAGCGCATATTGCGTAGGAGGTGTAGTCCACATTTCCATATCCGGGCTGACCACCTCGTCGTCTGACAACAAAGCCTCTCGATCAGAGGAGTCGTATGCAGCAACCTTGTTCGTATTCTTCCTCTTCCATCTGGATGTAATGCGCGCTCGGATCTCTGTAGATGGATCACTCTCCGGATGCTGCACAAATGCCGATGAACTGCCTCCCAATGTCTGTGAGTCCCTGAAAAGCATGAATCTTCGCAAACATGCAACATCCGTATGTACATCATCATCTTCGCCAACCAAGGGCACAACGACTTCAGGGACGTCAGCGAACGCCGGTGTGCCGTCTAATACAACGTCCTCGAAATGTGAATTGAGGGTGTGTAGCGAATGAGGTGCATCAGTGCGACCACTACCTTGTTGGGCACCGGTGGAAGTGAAGGACAACCTTGAAAGCGGCTGCAACATGCGATTCCGTCACGTTGGTTGGGCCTGCACCTCCTCCATACCACCAGTTACAGCAAACAGACTGTCCCCTCCGATCTCGCATCCTGTGTCCTGTGCCTGTATTCCAGTGCTTCCTGCAACAGTTGGAGTGCTACCGGACGGCGTTGCATGACACATGTCACGCCCCGAACTCATTCCAGTGCACGGTCTGCGATGCTCCCCACGGAGCGATGGCCCACTTGATGGAAGAGCCGTGGAAGGTGGTGTGGTAGTATAATCTGGAAGAGTACAGTTCGCTGACAAGCCGGTACAGGAGTTGTATGGATGCATCGGTTCCATTCGATGCATGACAATGTTTGATGGTAGATTGTCAAGTGGTGTCGCGAATTCCGCGGGTGGTGTGTTGTACATGTGCAGTACAAAAGACGGGTCATAATCATGGACAAATTAGTGCATGGCATGTTGACCCGCATGCGGATGTGACGAGGTGGGGAAGATGTAGGTTGGGTAGTGCAACGGGACGGTGTGGTGCAGACTGTACGGTGTGGTGGGCAAGTGAGGAGCAGGCATATGGAATGGAGTTGCATAGTGGGGGAAATTGTGGACCCAGGGACTGTGGGCAGGAAGCGGCCGTGGCGGAGGCAAAGGAGTGTGAATCACAGAAACAGAGGAAGGCCTGTTGAGGACAGGTTGGGAGTAGACCGTGTGGTCTGTTGCGGGTGACGTGGGTTGTGGTATGAGCCCCGAGAAATCACCAGCATAGGAGGATGCTGGCCTGTTGTTGTCCACATACGTTGGCAGGTTCTCGCGAGGCTCGCCGTCTGCTGCACCCATTGCACAAGCTGCACAATACAGAGTGTGAACACTGCATGTAAATAACATAGTTTTCAAAACCGACGATAGCCAGGAAATGTAAGTGCATTGAAAAGGACACAAACACATTCCATTCCAATTGACATAGGAATTCAGACAAGAAAGCATATGGTAGGTCAGGAGTCGAAATTGGGAACCATACAGAGATGTTGTTCAGGTACTCAACTGGAAATGTTTTAGAATCCAGGCTACCAGCCGGGCCGCCCGGGTCCCGGGTGGCCAGGCCGTGCAAGGACCAGGGAAGGTCCCAGCAAAAAAAAAAAAACACTATGTAATGCAGAAAAATAAACAGAACAATTGATGCCTCAGGGTCACAGACAAATTCTTTACCGCATTGAAAGTGTATATATATATATATACTAGCTAAGTGCCCGCGGTGCGGGCGGTGCGGGCAATGCACGCAAAAAAAAAAAAAAAAAAAAAAAAAAAAAAAAAAAAAA